CGAGCTGAATTTTCTATTCCCCCTCCTCCCGCCGCCCTTCATGAAATAAATGACTAGTGGTTTATGCATTTACATGTTTTCGCCTGTTACCGCTTATGAAAATTAATCACTATTAATTACGCGTCTGCAAACTTTGGATGTAATTTGCATCAAGTTTCGCGATAAACGCGTTGTTTGGAAAAATTTTATCTTTCATAATAATCAGCGATATCTTGATTACACCCAGTAGGTAATAAATGATTGTTTATCGCACGCCCCGCGCGCACATTTGCGCGTAATATCTCAACTCACTCCCCATTACCCAGCAGCTAGACATTTACTATAATTACTTGCTAATAAGTGCAAAAATGTCCGAATATCCCACGTTAACCAGGCTCGAATCGTGTCCTTTACGTTGAAATTCCATGTAAGCGTAGCAGAGGCCAGGCTTCTCGTATTATAGAAAAATTTTTCTATCGACTACGGCTAATTGCGACTCTATCGTTAATACCGAGAGGGAAGAAAAAGGCCACTAATCAAATTATTTTACAGTCATTACCGGCTGTATATCGTGAGAGTAATAGCTCGCGGCGATTAAGGAGTTGGGCGACAGGGGGAGGGAGGCTGCCCACTTGGCTGCACAGGGTTTTTGCCCTGCATCGCAGCGCGCAAGGGCTCCCTCGACGGAATACATCGATGATGGAATCCACAAAATTGCATCGCTTGAAATCCATTAAAAAGTCGAACGATGGGATCTCCGGACTTTGACCGTCTCGACGAGGTAGAACCTGTTCTTTCGCCGACGATCAAAGCGCCCAGCGCCGAACTAAAGCTTATGCGCGATAGCGATCAATGCCACGTTTATATAGATATACACAATGGTTTAAAAACTGATTTTTCGGAGGTTGGCTTGCCTTCCTCATCCCCCCTCCATCAAACTCCGCTACCCATCGCTCCACGCCTTGGCCCCTCGCGCTCACTATCTATCTCTGTCTTTCCCTTAATTTTAATAACAATGGGATACCGATGCGAAGTCACGCAATGCTCCGATTTCAATTTCTGAAGAATAAATACATTACATTGTGTATGAGTACTTGGAAAAGTTAATCATAATTCTACAATGTAATTATAAATTTCATTCCTTTATACGATTGCTAATTTCTTGAGGCATAAAATAAATTCATTATTTATCTATGGAGCGTGGAAATGTCATTTAATCCTAAGAGCGATATAATAAATTAAACGATAAATAATTTACCATTTCATCGGTTACTACTAATTTTTCTAATTCACTCATATATCTCTTGTATTCAGAATGATACAAATGTTCCGCGTTCAAAGTGTATTACGTCTTTCTTTTATTCTATACTTGTACAACTGAGCAATGAAATGTCGATATTATGTACTCACGCATGTAAATAAAGAAACGACAAATAATATTGTATGTATCGATTTTATGAAATATGTAGAGAACTAGAATTTACATAGAAATTTTATTTTGCTTTATAACGCCTAAGTAAGATATTATTTTACGGATTACAAGTAATTTGAAATATTTTCATTTTTTTGGTAAATTCAAAATATATAATCTTCGGACTCATCTCGTTTTTTAAATAATTATTTATCAATTGAAAACCACTTATATTATTGATGATTGCATGGTGATTGTATAAAATCTTGGGTCATAGTTATGCATGAATGATTAATTCAGATCAACGAACAACTTAGGATATTAAATAATATTAACAATTTTTAGAATAAAAAATAGTTTTATATGCACATGTGACTATCTTCTAAGTTTCACCAACAGTCAATATTTTAAGCCAACCATAATAATATTTTTTAAATAAAAACACATTTTCACTTTATCGGCCATTAATATTGATAGTCTATACAATGAATATAATCTTTTGCGATTTCAATTTACAAACAAAAAATAAAATTTAAAGAAAATTATATTAAAATTATATTGAACAACTGAACGAAAGTTATATTAACAGAATTTATGTCTTATAAATGTATTAATGTCCAGTCTGTGCGATAATATAAAATGAATATTAGGTTTTCCACAAAAACAAAAAAACAACGAAGGTAAATAAAAAAAAAAAATTTAATTGGAAAACTGTGAGTTCTCGTATAATTCCTATCTGGCATGTAACATAAAAATAACTCGACTTAAATAGCTTCATATATACATTAATATAATAGAATCGGCAAACAGTTGCAATTATTGGAAAATTATTGTACTTGAATTGAGCGCACGTGGGAAAATAAAAATAAAAATACATTATATTATAAAATATGAACTACAAATAATTTTCAAAGGAACAACAAAGTAAAATGCAGAATGAATTATCCCGGAAAGAAAAATTTGCACAGTATCTTCGTGATTCTATCCAGTTTACTTCTTTGGAAAAATTATAATCGAGCTCATGTTGCATAATACATGCATGCCACTGTGCGCCTATACATACGTGCATGCAGCTGCACAAAACTGAACAGTTATGCCGGGACATTAAAAAAAAAGAAGGTATTCCTCGTTACAAATCCGCATCATACATATACCATTAGTAAAAACAACGGAAGAAAAAAACTTGGCAAATTTTTAGTTCGATTTGCCTTGATTCGCATAAAATATGTATCACGCGTATAGTTCCTTTTGAAAAGATCGATCACACTAATTTCAATGTAAATTTTTTTTTTATACATACATAACTGATGACTTGCAGTATTTAGGGTCTTTTTTATCACTGTGCGTACAAGGCAATGACGGGCGGAAAAATATTAATTCACGGATTTTCACGATTTTCCAGCAGAAAGGCTAATTGCCGTTAAGCCTTGTATTTACTGTGACCGTTAAGAACCTGTTTTATTACAAAAATATTTTCTTCGCTGAAGTTTCGCTTTAGTTAAAACTGTTACGAGAAATAGATAAATAAATTTATAACAAAAGTCTTTGATCGAAGATTCAGTTTAATTTTATATTTAACAGTAGGAAGCAATTTTATTATTTAATAGTCATTACCATTCGTTTTCACGATTAAGTTAAAACTCCTTTAATCAGTTCCCGAGATTACCTGTCTGAGTACCAACTCTGCAAGAGATAAAGAACATCCTTACTCGTAAGGAAACTTTTGTCATGAATAATATAGTCTATTTTTAACTATTTTTTAACTTTATTATAACAAGCCTATGATTTTGAAAAAAAAAAATTTCATCTTCATAAGTTATCGATGAATTATTGCAGCTTGAAAAAAAAATTCTGTATTTTGCACATACGAGTCTTTGCTTAAAATTGATAATTAATTTCGAGAAACTCTCAATTGATATTATTAATATCATTTTAAATAATTGCTAACCTTTAATAATTCTTAATTGTTTTTCGCATCCTTGACTTGGCAATTTCACTCTGAAAATATAAATTTATAAAAAGTAAAATAATATTTTTAATTTTAATTATTTTCAATGAACTAACTGATAGTTATAATATAAAAAAAATAATATATATTGAATACTATTGTAAATTTATAAATTAATTTTTATAATACAATAAATATAATAGAGTGATTTTTTTTCTTTTCTACTTGTATAGTACAGAGGAAATAAGTGGACATGTATATAAAATTAAATAATTTAATGCCTAAGGTTAATAAAAATAAGTAATAATTATGCTATTTGATGTTCATTATATATCATTTATACATTGAAACATTGTTTATACACTTATTGAGAAATAAATAAAAACTAATTTTAATTTCGAAATTCGTAATCCATTTATTAATCATATTTACTAATGAATAGTTATATTATTAGTTCAAAAATTATATATAATGAATGAACGGAATTTTAAATTAGTAATAAAAATTCGATCGGATAGTTATTTCGTTAAGCGTTTATATTTCAATTTGAAGGTGATTAATAAATACTTTCCTATATTTTCCTCCATTGACTTAATAATTTATATAAGTAAACCTTACAAATTTAATTATGTAAACTATTTTTCATTTATTTCTATTGAAATTATTCTTTGCAAATACTTTTACTTAATAGGAAAAAGCAAAGCTAATGACGGTTGAAATTTACCTCTTAATTGATACGTAATCTCTAATGTATTAATAAGACAATTCATCGAGTCAATTATAATGGAAAATAAGTATTAGCCTTTATCAATATTTTCCTTGTACAATTTAATAGCATAGAATTTATTTTAACCGAGAATTCCGAAGTGATTGTACGATTCAAATTCATTTTCTTAGCTGTTTCTTTCAAAATCGCTTTTCGCACATTCCCCAATCAACTACATACATAATATATTTGACAATTTTTATATACGAGTACGTTGGTGTAGGTACACTCTATTATGAAAGTTTCAAAACAAATAAATAAAATACAAATTATAAGAATTTTTGAATGACGTTTTAATTGAATGGATTTATTGTGCAAAGTAATTTTACCGATTAGCCGAGATTTTTAAATACGAAATTCGTCATACATGTGTCTCTTGCATTTTAAATCATACACTCCAGCATGGTACCGACGTGGTAATATTTCTCTAATATCGGTAACAAAATTGACTAACAATAATTATCAGGTCGTAAAAGCGACAGTCGTGCCATACGTAATACCTCCTCCTCCTCCCCACGAAACCCATTCCCCGCCAAACGAGGTGAGCAGAGTGTATTAATGCGCCAATAATGTCAGCAATGTCTTAATAAACTGTCGACTCTCGGATGCTGAAACCTCCTCTTCATCGTCAAAGTCAATCCTTTCCACGCTCCAGTGTACTTTCGTTAAGCTGAGCCCCAAAACGCAATGTTACGTCAATGTCATAATCCATGAGAATTGGCAATTAGAAAAGACGCGTCTTTCGGCGTAGCGCGCGGACCGGCCGTGATAAGCTCGGCAAAGCGCATAGGGATGAGGTAACGACGGAAATTGTCGGGTATGAGTTAACGGGACAAGAGGAGCCGCTCACGAGGCAAAAAAAGCTCGGCGCGAGTACGAATGTCAGGGCGACTCACCGATCCCCTCGACGACGTAGCGGTCCTTGGCGTCCATGTCGGCGTAGCGCTTAGGGATGCGTAGAGAGCCCGGGGGATCCTGAGCACCTCCTAGCTGCCCTTGGCCGGCAGCTCCATGTTGTCGGCCCAGCACCGATTCGTATATTGCGGAATCCGCGAAACGCGCGCGTCTGGTAGCGTCTCGGTCGCGTGCGCGATAGAATCACCTCGGAGGCAGGTGTAGCAGCCGCGTTTTTCCAGATGTGTGTGGCGCTGATGGAGGAGGCGGCTGTGGAGGTGGCGCAGGAGGAGCCGAAGGTGGCGGTAGGAGCTTGATGAAGAGGTGGAGGAGGTAGAAGAGGAGGATGGTGGAGTAGGAGGGGGATGACGATTGGGGTTGGAGGGGAGGGTGATAAGGGATCAGAGGGTGGGATTAGGGTGGCGTATTGGCGAGAGGGGGATGGTAAGGGGGGGGATATAGTGGTATCGGTGGAGGTGGAGAATGTGGTGGAGCGTTCACGTGCGCTCCAGACTGTCTGGTGCTCGACTGGGCGCGCAGTCGCCTTCCGGCGGCGAGGTCGCGAGCCACGCGCCTCACTGGCCTCAAACTCGCGTCGAACTGTCGCAGTTACGTTTTTTTCGGCGACTCCACGATGGCGTCCCGCAGCTCGAAGCGTCGTTGGTGTCGGCCTCGTGGCCAATTTGATCGCGCGCACGCTATTGCACGAGGTTGGTTAGACACCCATCATCGTGCGACCTTCCTTGTTTCACTTATTCATCACATCTGCTGGCTTTATATGGCGCTAGGATGTAACAACTTTATGGGCTGTTCTTGCGCGCTTGCACTTAATGGAGAGGAGAGTATCTCTCGTTAATTCGTCGGATTGGCCATCCCTTATTGTCGAAATTTTCCTCCACTTGTCGAAGCACTCTAATAGTAGAATATCGCACGGGCAACTACCACAATTCACGCGAACGTATTATGACGATAAATATTTTCGAGCTAATGAATTTATCGCGGTACTTCTCACTCGAGAAACGTTCATTTTTAATCGATCCGATCCGCGTTCTTATCATTAAATTTTGCTTCACTTAGCGTACGAGTGCGCGGTATTCCTCATTATTGAAAAGGCGCTTCCTTATCTCAATAATATCAAAATATTTACTCGATGACGCATTACCATCGTTGGCTGTTTCTATTATAAATGTTAATGACGTTACAATTGTCGGAGAATTTAACAGGAGGAGTGCTCGTAATGCTTATAATAGCGTTGATTATCAAATTTTCACAGCGCCGACAAAGTAGAAACGAAGCCGTGGTATGGAATTGCCGCAACGCGCGTGTATTATGATTCAATGCTACGTAAAGAGGAAAGGAATACGCAAACGATAAGTTATCATCGTCGCAAATCATTGTCCGCAAATCGTCGTAAACGGATGCAAGCCGGTCGAATGACGTCTCGTTGTACCGCTGTTGTCTCGTAAATTACTCCTGTACGTTCATCGATGTGCCCGTCAATCACATCTCGCTGAAATTCACTCGCCCTTACATCGTTGATAAGCAGTGGACTAGCAAACTCGTTGCTTTCCCCGGCCTATCAACCTTATCACTATATCCTTTATATCATCCGAACCACCGAGACCGAACTCAACACTAAGGTGCTCGAATCAATGACGCGTCCGCCTGCTCGTCAGTCACAAGATCCCATATCAGTGTCACTCTTCGAACATTTCGAACCCCGTGGAGGAAAGAAAAGTCAGTAGCAGCGCTATAATAAAGCGCGATGCGGTTGAGGGGACTCCGGCACTAGGGTGTCCTCGTCAACGAGCACCATTTATTGATAAGCGACCACAAGTTCACTGATGCGCTTCACCTCGTACTGAATCGCGAGCCTGGGACAAGCAGAGCGCGCGGGCGAGGCGACCTTCCGCGAAAGAGCGCGACAGCCGGGGTCATGGAGTAAGCCGTCGGCTCGTTCGAGACGCTCGAGGAATCCGGGTACGGAGGCGCGAGCACGTGCTCCACCCGCCTGGGACACGCGCTGCCGATCGAGGAGACCCTCGGGCTCATTCGCAGATGATCGGCCGATCGCCAGGGCGACGGGCGCGTAGTCGGGATCGCGCGCGGACGCTGAATGACTAGGATCACGAGGCGGCGCCCCGCGGGTCAAGCCACGCGCGCGCAGGTCAGCTGCAGGTGGTAACGGCGGCGGCGGCGATAGTGGCAGCGGCGACGGTGGTGGTGGTGGTGGTGGCAGCGGTGGTGGTAGTGCCGTCGTCGGCCCGTCCTTTACTCGCGCAGGTGTCGTACCGGTGGTGGTGGGGACCTGAAGCTTCGAGCTCGGAGTGGGATGTAAGCGCGTGGCCCCGGGGACGGCGAGAGGAGTCATGCCATGGGATTTATCGACCGAAGGTCTGGGATCGCGGCGCGAGATGGGACCAGCTTATATTTGCCTCCTCTTCCTTATCGCTCCGGCTATCGGACTCAAGTAGAATCGGCTATCAGACTTGCTAGTCCCCGCATTCGATCTGTCTCTGTATTCTATGATTTGCGAGATAGATTTAATGGGATGCTGCGGTGGGCCTGGGATATGGAAGATAGTGACGTGTATTGGAGACGAATTTTAGATGCAGATTAGTGCATTGGGTATGGGGACGACGTGGGCGAAATTTCGATATGCGAAGAGTTCGAGGCTTCTAAGCTTGAATCTAAAGAGCATTATTGCATCATCTCTGAATTAAAAAAAAATATTATCTTTACCGAGGCATTGTTCTTTGCAGATATTGAAAGACAAAAGAATCACTCGCTAAGCAAATGCATGTGAATGGCGACTCGTAACATAAATTGAATTTGAAGAAGCATAATAATGTAGAGTGCATTTGAAAATGTTAGAGTTTTCGTACTTGACTCGATAATGGTTCGACAAAATTTCATCAGATCAAAAATCCTTAATGACAAATTATTCATTAATTTAATTAATAATATTAATTATTTATATGTTAGTCTCGATACATGATAAACTGGACATTTACGTCAATACGACAACGATCAGAATAGATATTGAAGAATTGATAATCAGTTCTGAACTGAAATTAACCTTCTAGCAAAAAAAAAGTATGCCCTTAAATATGTTTTATAAAGAAATATAATGAAATGTTTATCTCGCTCAATTTCCAAATCGTTAGATCATCTATATGAAAGAGACAAAAAGTAATATCTTCGCTATTCGGTTGGTTACACTTACAGTTGATAAAAATATAATTTAACAGATTTTTTATAATACCATGCGGGTGGGTATTGAAATGTGAGATTTTAATGAGATTAAAAGCATTACATGTTTATTATCAACGTGTTTTATTATCTGAATCGTTATTTGAATCTTAACACGAACAGAATATAATCTACTGGTAAATAATAAAATAATAAATATCATCGATAAAGTTCATCAAAACATCTTTTGAATGTAATTCGCTTAATTAGATGCAATTTTTTAAATATATCTTATTGATAAACAGAAGGTGAATATAAAACATTTTACACAATGCTGTTAAGTGAAAAATAAAAAGATTTATTTGATATTTATTTAGAGAAAAGAATAAGAGTTATGCTTATATATACGTAATTTTCTAATTAAATAATATTGTACACACACACACACACACACACACACACACACACATAATAATTGTAAATGATTAAGTATTGATATACTCTGAAACTTATGTAGAAATATTCTTACGTACATCTATTTCTGCATAATGTATTGACTTAATTTCCTTTTACATAGATATGACACAGACTACAAATATATTTCAATATTATACGTTGGAAAATATATTGTTCTGTTAATAAATCTGACTTCTACGGTTATGTCGTTCGTTTGACACATCTTTATGCAATAACTTATATCTAACAGATATATATTATTTTATAAAGATAGAAACTTACATAGAGAATCATTACATTACAATACATTACAATACATACTGAATTATGTTTCTGCTAAATCCATTGATTAATACATCTATTTATAAAGCAACATTATGGTTAACAGACATATAAAAAAAAACCGTGTACACTTTGTAAAAACTTAACACGAAAGATGTGCGAAAACAATATTTTACCAAGTTATAGCTCTATAAACCATGTATATATTTATTGATTATCAATAGTCGAGCCTTAATATTTCACAATACATATTGAATACATAAGAAAAAACAGAGAAAAAAAGAGAATTCTATCTTGGCTTGAAGCGTACACTAATACACTTCATTATATTATTTAAATTACTGGCTATGAATATATAAAAATTAGACCAAAAAATATATAAGCGAAGTATAAAAATTTTAATAATCATTTCCATTAGATAAAATAAATTAATAAAAAATTATACGTATATATTCCATTACACTTACTGCTGCTTTTAGGAGACGATGTCTATTATTAAGAGTTTCTTACAAATTCGTTTAATACTGAAAAAAAATATAAAAATAAATATAAAAAAAAAATACATTTCACTTGATAATAATATCAACTATAGCACTGTCGAAATACGGATAAGCATCTAAACAAACTTATCGTACAAAAATATGTTCATTCGGTCTTGAATCGTACTACTATGCCGAATTAAACATATATTTAATTAGTCTCGATTAATTGGAATAACCCGACGATCTCTTGAGCTTTTAATTCATCTGTACTGGCAGCGAAATACTTCTTAGTCGCTCGACGCTTAAACGCATCGAGTCCACAGTGCCAAATTGTCGATTACAAACGACTCAATAAAAACAACATTGTGCCCATGCATTAAACGATATTTGTTTTCTTTTAATATTGCTGAAGGTAACGGCGTATCTGAGCGGACGATAAGCAAAAGCCGCCAAACGTTGAGGTAGAAACAACACGTGGAACACGTATAGCATGTGCGACTAGTGCCAAAGCCGTCATCGGGGATAGCGAGTGGCGTATTTGCTCTTGAATCGTGATAACTGCAGGGCAGCGGTAATTATCGGTGCTTAATTAGTTTGGTCGCGTTACCGCGCCGTTCCATAACGAAGACATTAAATGTTTGCGTGGCTCGTAATATAATAATGCCGATCGTGTCACCGAGTTTCCTGGCATTCGAAGAGCTCCACACAATATGCGCGCTTCCAAGTTGTCTATTATCGTATTTTTTTGTTAATGATTTACAGCGTTTTGTCTCATTACAGTACGGCACGAATAATTCAGCAATAGCAAGGCCGAGAAAAATAGTCGATCAAGAGTTTCGTATTATTATTAAGGTAATTGGCAATTTGAATGAAAGGAAAGTATTGG